ATTAAATTAAATCCAATCTTAATAATATTTTGGGTCGGGATGTTACAATCTACCCCCCTTAAAGAATTTCGTCCTCGAAATTTACGTACCTGTCAAAAGAAGAGGTAAGGATACTGGGCCCGCATCTGCTCCTCGGGTTCCCAAGTAGCTTCCTCTACAGTCTGACTCTGCCACAACACTTTCACCATTGGGATAGATCTGGAGCGCAACACTTGTTCTTTTCTGTCCAGAATTTGTACGGGTTCCTCATCATACGACAAATCTTCTCTCAACTCCATGGGTTGCTGTTCTAAAATGTGAGAAGGATCAGGCATGTACCTCCGTAGCATGGACACATGGAAAACGTCATGGATCCGAGATAGTTCCGAAGGTAAGGCAAGTCTGTAGGCAACTGGTCCGATGCGTTCCGTGATCTCATACGGTCCAATATAACGAGGACTTAACTTCCCACGTTTACCAAACCTCATCACACCTTTCCAAGGAGATAACTTCAAAAATACCCAGTCTCCAACTGCAAACTCAAGATCCTTGGACCGGTTGTCCGCATAACTCTTCTGTCTATCTTGTGCGGTCTTAAGCTTCTCTCGAATCATCTTCACTTGTTCAGTTGTATCCCGAATACTATCCACTTTTTCCACAATCCTGTCACCCACCTCATTCCAACAGACTGGAGTTCTACACATCCTTCCATATAAAGCTTCATATGGAGCCATCTCAATGCTCGAATGATAACTGTTATTATACGCAAACTCCACCAAAGCAAGGTGAGTATCCCAACTACCTTTCAACTGTAACACACAGGATCTCAACATGTCCTCCAGAGTCTGAATGGTTCTTTCCGACTGTCCATCAGTCTGTGGGTGGAAAGCAGTACTGAAACGTAACTTGGTGCCCATAGCCTCATGTAGGCACTTCCAGAATCGAGAGGTAAGCCTAGCATCCCTGTCCGACACAATGGACACAGGAGCTCCATGCAATCTCACTACCTCACCTACAAAGAGCTTCGCCAGCTTCGTCAAAGAATAGGTTTCCTTTACAGGTAGGAAGTGAGCTGATTTGGTGAGTCGATCAACTATCACCCAAATTCCGTCATACCCATTTGCAGAACGTGGAAGCTTGAAAACGAAATCCATTGTAATATGCTCCCATTTCCATTCAGGGATCGGGAGTGGCTGCATAAGTCCAGAAGGCTTCTGTCGCTCTGCTTTCACTTGTTGGCACACCAAACACCTGCTCACATACTTAGCAATGTCACCCTTCATATGCGGCCACAAGTAGTACGCACGTAGAGTCCGATACATCTTAGTACTACCTGGATGCATAGAATAAGTTGAACAGTGAGCTTCCTCCATGATTTCTCTTTTCAGGTCGTCGCTCTTCTTAGGTACGCAAAGACGAGTTCCAGCTACCAAAGCTCCATCTTCTCTTATAGCATAATCTCTCCGTACCCCACTTTCTACTTCTGACCTTATCATACAAAGATTAGGATCTTCCAGTTGTGCTACAATCACCCTCTCAATCAGGATAGGCCTCACATACAAACTAGCAAGTAATGCACCCTGTTGACTCCATTCCAACTCTACCTCTTCCTTCCGTAGTTCCCCCATCAACGGAATATAAACCCCTTTAAAATGAGCTAAACTCACATTAATACTCCTACTCAAAGCATCAGCTACTACATTGGCTCGACCGGGATGATACTCAATCGTACAGTCGTAATCCTTAATCAACTCCATCCAACGTCGTTGTCTCAGGTTCAATTCCTTCTGAGTGAAGATATACTTGAGACTCTTGTGATCAGTGAAGATCTGACATGTCTCACCATACAGGTAGTGTCGCCAGATTTTGAGAGCGAACACCACTGCAGCAAGTTCTAAGTCGTGTGTAGGATAATTCTGCTCATGTCTCTTGAGTTGTCTTGAGGCATAAGCAATCACCCGATCATGTTGCATCACAACACATCCCAAGCCTTGCAATGATGCATCACTATAGATCACAAAATTCCCTGAATTATCTGGAAGAGCTAAAACAGGTGCGGTGGTCAACCGCTTCTTCAACTCTTGAAAACTCTGTTCGCACTCCTCCGTCCACTCAAACTGAACATCTTTCCTTGTTAACCGTGAAAGAGGTGCTGCTATCACGGAGAATCCTTCCACAAACCGACGATAATAACCTGCTAACCCCAGGAAACTCCGTACTTCTGTCACACTAGTGGGTTGCACCCAATTCACAACTACTTCTATCTTCCGGGGGTCTACATAGATTCCTTCTGCTGATATCACATGCCCGAGAAAGTCCACTCTATCCAACCAAAACTGACACTTGCTGAACTTGGCAAAAAGCTGCTTCCTTCTCAAAGTCTTCAGTACCAATCTCAAATGCTTCTTATGACCCTCCAAAGTTCTGGAATAGACAAGGATGTCGTCTATGAATACAATCACAAAGCGATCCAGGTAAGGTCGGAACACTCTGTTCATGAGATCCATAAACGCTGCTGGAGCATTAGTCAATCCGAAAGGCATCACCAAGAACTCATAATGGCCGTAACGAGTCCGGAATGCTGTCTTCGGAACATCCTCCTCTCGTACTCTGAGTTGATGGTAACCCGATCTCAGATCGATCTTAGAGAAATACTTGGCACCCTTCAATTGATCAAACAAATCATCGATTCGAGGCAAGGGATATCGATTACGCACTGTCACCTTGTTCAATTCTCTGTAATCGATACATAGCCTCATGGTTCCATCCTTCTTCTTTACAAACAACACCGGTGCACCCCAAGGGGAAACACTAGGTCGAATGAATCCAAGATCAATCAATTCCTGCAATTGTATCTTCAACTCCCGTAACTCTGCTGGTGCCATCCTATAAGGAGCTTGATAAATTGGATTCGTGCCTGGAAGGAGTTCGATAGTGAACTCGGTTTCTCTCTGAGGAGGCAAACCAGGAAGATCATCCGGAAAGACATCTGGAAACTCACGAACAATAGGAACATCTTCCAGATTCAAAGTGATCTCCTGCGTATCAATGATGTGGGCTAAGTACCCCACGCATCCTTTCTTAAGTAACCTTTTTGCCGTGATGGCGGAAATGAGACATGACGGGAGAACTCTACGCTCTCCACAGAACATGACTTCAGGTTGTCCCGGACTTCTAAACACTACCTCCTTCCTGAAACAATCTACCGATGCACGATGCTTTTCTAACCAATCCATTCCCAAGATAATGTCAAGATCTACCAAATCCAAGGGAACCAAATTCGCATCTAACATTGCATCTCCCACTTGAACATAACAACCTTTAAACACCATGTCCGCAAACAGGACATCCCCCGTAGGTAAAGAAATACTAAAACTTCCTGCCATAGGTGTGGGTCTAACACTGGCATAAGGAACAAAGCTACTTGCAATGAATGAATGGGTAGCCCCGGGATCTATCAATACACGCGCTGGAAATCCTCCCAAGTCATATCAGCTCTCCTGACAGTTTTCCACCAATAATAAGCATTCCCTTTCAGAAGGAAGACAGACAACCGTACCTTGTCTTCCTCTGGACACTGTAAGACATCAAAAATTATCTCCAAATTAGTAAGCCAAGCCTCAGCATCAATAGGGTCTGCACTTCCAAAGAATTCTTTAGCCCCTAACTCCTTGACCCTCTTAATATCCAACCCTTCCACATTCCGTCTCCCTTGCCCTTGGAGAGCTGTGGCCATAGTCTGAGTGAACTGGCTAGTGAATTGATTCAGCACTTCTTGGAAATCCGGCACATCGTCTTCCGCTTGTTCACCAATAGGTGGAGATGGAGGTGGAGATGGTGATGGAGGTGGAGGATTGGGTCCATACCTCTGAGCACGACCACGACCACCTCTTATTCTGCCACCACGGGGATGCATGGTTCTAAACCAAAGAAACCACCAAATCATTAGTGCCCACACGCAAAAGAAGCATGAAAGTCACAAGAAACGAAACCTAATGCTCTGATACCAAGCTGACAGGACCCGCCTCGGATTTCCTCGGAAACCGGGTCGGATCCCGCCTAAATATCCGGCATACCGCAGATGCCGGGCCCACTACTAAAAACCGAGACTTTCCACCAAAAATTTTGGCGGAGTCTCCCCTGTAAACAGGACAAATCCCAAAAATTCAACCTGTCAAAACACAGTTAAAAACAACCCAACAGCCAGCATAAAATATACACAAAGCTTAGTGTTACAAACCATGGCCTCCGGCCTCAAAATACCAAATTCTAACTGGGCAATAACAGAGCATCTAACAGAATTCAACCATCCAACAAAAATGGAGTTTTACGAATTAACAGGGTACCGAAGCTCTACAAAAGCTCGGAGCACCAAAGTTCACGGTTCAAGGGCACACGACACAGCTCTGCTGCTCGTTCCAGTCAACTACTGGCTGTGGGGCGCAAAACAGAAAATTGTGAGTGGACAAAACAAAGTTTAGTTCCATTTAAACCAAAGTAATATAACCCCACCGTTAGAAAACCATGCATGAAATCAATGCATTAAATCCATCATAATCATATATAAATATATATAGTTTGCTCAAACCCGAGCTAAAATCCGGAATCCAGTGAAACTATCAAATCAACCCATCCAATCCTTTCCATATAAAATCTCAAGACAAACTCTCGAAACACGTGCCCACAGGCACGACGAGCGGGGAAGTATCCTCGCTCAAAAGCAAGAACAAATGTATAGTTATATATGAATATATAAGTACATAATAGAGATATAGTATAGGTATATGACACACCTAATTGTACCGGGGAAACAATCCAACTGGGGATTGTTTGACTAGCTCACACTTATCCGGCCCTCAAACGTCCATGTGGCTAGGGATGAGTCGTCCAACTGGGGGACTGATACTCTAACCCAGCACGTACGGACGAAGAATCAAGACCCGTACGCCTGGAACCGTCCTACGCGCGCAGACTACCCAATCAAGGGTCTACGGTCAACATCCCGTCAAGGATGCCCCGGCTACTTACATTTCCAAATATTTCACATTTCCATAATCACATTCCGAATCCAGGGGAGGTACACAGGGTAGTGCTTATAGCACTCCAAACTGACTTTCTACTCTCGCATCTTTCCATGCCTCATAACCATATCTCAAGTACCCCCCACAAATACTCAACAAATAAAATACTTTCCCAAAATAGCATATACATAAAATTCAAGATACTTGAATA